CAGGAGGGGGGGATGGGGAGCAGGTGGGGTTGATATTTGGGGGGGAATTGCTCTGGAGATGGGTTCTCCAGGGATGTGAGGAGCAGTTCACCCCCCCCCCCCACAAGGAACACACACACACACAAGGCCAAGTGTAGATATGATAGAGCCCAGTAGGCTCAGGAACCTGTACACCTGTTGATTGACGGTTGAGAAGCGGGACCAAAGAGCCAGAGCTCAACCCCCCGCAAGCACAATTAGGTGAGTACACAGGAATCTGTACAACAGTAGATTGACGGTTGAGAGGCGGGACCAAAGAGCCAGAGCTCAACCCCCGCATGTATAACCAGGTGAGGACACACCCACTCTCTTTAATCTTCTCAGGGCAGGCCTGGGATAAGCTTATGTAGGATAACAGCTTTTAACTTGCAGTTTTATTACTCTTATCAGTTAAGAACATCATTGATATTCATAATACAGGCGATGAGTCACAATAACGGGGCTGAAGTATGTTAATCAGACCACACACTAGAAGTTGAAAGGACGACGACGTTTCGGTCCGTCCTGGACCATTCTCAAGTCACAATGGACTTGAGAATGGTCCAGGACGGACCGAAACGTGGTCGTCCCTTCACCTTCTAGTGTGTGGTCTGGTCAAAATTGCTAATGCAAGGTGATAACTGTTATCCTTCATCAGTTTATCTGACACTAGAAACTGTTGTATTTGATGAGCTTAATGTTGCTGATAACAACACTAAGATCATAATACTGGGATGATAACAGTATCCACCAGGACTAAACTGTCATGTGAGGAGGGTGAGCCAGGTGTCAACTGTGTGCCATCATGCGGTTATCTTGGGGTTATCTTGAGATGATTTCGGGGCTTTAGTGTCCCCGCGGCCCGGTCCTCGACCACGCCTCCACCCCCAGGAAGCAGCCCGTGACAGCTGACTAACACCCAGGTACCTATTTTACTGCTAGGTAACAGGGGCATAGGGTGAAAGAAACTCAGACCATTGTTTCTCGCCGGCGCCTGGGATTGAACCCAGGACCACAGGATCACAAGTCCAGCGTGCTGTCCACTCGGCCGACCGGCTCCCTCAGTTGCCTCGTCTGTCTGCGCCTCTCGTCCAGCATCTTCAGTATAGAGTTGATCTTGTGTTCGAAAAGTCTCTACATTTCTCTCTCGTACCGTTACTCTTTCCCTGTTATCTCCTATCTCTCTCTCCTCCTCTGCAGTCTCCTTTATCCTGGAGGTGGGAGAGCCACAACCACCGTGGGACTGGGCCAGTGAGCCTTCCCGCTGACGCTCCCATAGTAATACCAGTTATCCTCGTTAAGAATAACTGTAATACCAAGTGTATTAAATATGAGGTGGTCGTTTATGTATAGTGTGTGTGTGTGTATAGTGTGTGTGTGTGTGTGTGTGTGTGTGTGTGTGTGTGTGTGTGTGTGTATAGTGTGTGTGTGTGTGTGTGTATAGTGTGTGTGTGTGTATAGTGTGTGTGTGTGTATAGTGTGTGTGTGTGTGTGTGTGTGTGTGTATAGTGTGTGTGTGTGTGTGTATAGTGTGTGTGTGTGTGTGTATAGTGTGTGTGTGTGTGTGTGTATAGTGTGTGTGTGTGTGTATAGTGTGTGTGTGTGTGTGTGTGTGTGTGTGTGTGTGTATAGTGTGTGTGTGTGTGTGTGTGTATAGTGTGTGTGTGTGTGTGTATAGTGTGTGTGTGTGTGTGTGTGTGTGTATAGTGTGTGTGTGTGTGTGTGTGTGTGTGTGTGTGTGTGTGTGTGTGTGTGTGTGTGTGTGTATAGTGTGTGTGTGTGTGTGTGTGTGTGTGTGTGTGTGTGTATAGTGTGTGTGTGTGTGTGTGTGTGTATAGTGTGTGTGTGTGTGTGTGTATAGTGTGTGTGTGTGTGTATAGTGTGTGTGTGTGTGTGTGTGTGTGTGTGTGTATAGTGTGTGTGTGTGTGTATAGTGTGTGTGTGTGTGTATAGTGTGTGTGTGTGTGTATAGTGTGTGTGTGTATAGTGTGTGTGTGTATAGTGTGTGTGTGTGTGTATAGTGTGTGTGTGTGTGTATAGTGTGTGTGTGTGTGTGTGTATATAGTGTGTGTGTGTGTGTGTATAGTGTGTGTGTGTGTGTGTATAGTGTGTGTGTGTGTGTGTGTATAGTGTGTGTGTGTGTGTGTGTATAGTGTGTGTGTGTGTATAGTGTGTGTGTATATAATGTGGTATAGGAGGGTAGGAGGATGAAGGGATGACTATACTATCCCGGGTGTCTAGTTATGGTGTATGTATTAATATGTAAGTTGATTATATGTAGCTATTGTGTGATGTGTGTACATCCTTCAGGTAGTGGTGTATGACCACACCTGGTGGTTGGTGTGGTAGTGGTGGTAGAATATAACCTTACATAACATACACAACCTGGTAAAGACTGGTGGTTGAGTGGTCTTGGGTGGTTGGTGGTGGGAGGTAGTCAGTTACACTCGTGTATGACTAATTAGTTAGATAAGAGGCAATTAGGTAGTTCCCTCACATCTCTCCCGCCTGCTGCTAATGCCTTCCCTGAACCCGACGCTGGACCCGCTAATGAGTGGATGATGGCTCCTCCCCCCCCCCACGACCCCTCCCCTCCCCCACCTCATTCATCCCCTCACCCCCACCTTCCTGGGGGAGGGTGTCCCAGCGGCTGGGGTGACTGTGGTCACTAGGACGCTGCCAAGCATCTATAGGTAATTAGCCTGAGAATGTTGCAGTGTTGCTTAATAGCCGAGATGCGTAGGGTGGAGCTTACCAAAAACAGCGTGTGTGTGTGTGTGTGTGTGTGTGTGTGTGTGTGTGTACTCACCTATTTGTGCTTGCGGGGGTTGAGCTTTGGCTCTTTGGTCCCGCCTCTCAACTGTCAATCAACTGGTGTACAGATTCCTGAGCCTACTGGGCTGTGTGTGTGTGTGGGTGGACTAGAGCATGCGCACCCGTGCCGGGAGCGGCGAGCAGGAGGAAGAAAGAGCCGCTGGAAGGAGCGGAATCATTCCCGGTGAGTGTTTGTCCTACAACACTTGTAATTAGGGCAGCTCCCAAATCAAATATGGCGGGCTGAGGGCGGCATTGTCGGGGAGAGGTTGGAGGCTGGGCACCTCTTCAATACTTGACAAGGCTTTTGTGCTGCCCCGGCCCAGGTTTTGACAATTACAGCTCGTTAGCGAGTTTAACAAATCACCTGGGACCCGTTAGGTAAACACAGCGCCACCTGCCTCCTGTACGAACTCCCTCGCCTTGTACCAAACCCTCCTCCTTGTTACATGCTCCACCCCGCCTCGTTACAGTGCCCCTGGAGGCTGTACCGGCCTCGCTGTACCGTGTTAGTGGGGGGCTAGATGAAGGATAGGGAGCGGGGGGATGGTGGGGAGGAACCCCCACCTTGGGATACCGACAGTGTCGGCCGCTTCCCACGCCGCCCTCTTGTGTCTAACCTAATATTGTCGGCCTAATTTAATCCCCCCTTGAAGAGAAAGCTGAGGCGTAGACGCTCAGAGGTTCACTTGACTTGTGGGGCCCGGCGTTAACGAAGGGGGGGGGGGGGAGTAGGAGTTCACTATATAGCCCTGGGAAGGGATATGAGGGCTGGGACCTGGGGAATATGAGGGCTGGGAACCTGGGGAATATGAGGGCTGGGAACCTGGGGAATATGAGGGCTGGGACCTGGGGATGAGGGCTGGGACCTGGGGAATATGAGGGCTGGGACCTGGGGATATGAGGGCTGGGACCTGGGGGAATATGAGGGCTGGGACCTGGGGGAATATGAGGGCTGGGACCTGGGGAATATGAGGGCTGGGAACCTGGGGATGAGGGCTGGGACCTGGGGGATATGAGGGCTGGGACCTGGGGAATATGAGGGCTGGGACCTGGGGATGAGGGCTGGGACCTGGGGGATATGAGGGCTGGGACCTGGGGATGAGGGCTGGGAGACAGGGCCGGTACTGATCCAGTCCACATCAGTGTCCCATACTGACTACCCGCCCCCCCCGCCCCCCAGGTGATGGTGATGGTGTACTCTGTAAGTACTCTCTCAGTACTGTAACACTGTAAGTACTCTCTCAGTACTGTAACACTGTAAGTACTCTCTCAGTACTGTAACACTGTAAGTACTCTCAGTACTGCAACACTGTAAGTACTCTCTCAGTACTGTAACACTGTAAGTACTCTCAGTACTGTAACACTGTAAGTACTCTCAGTACTGTAACACTGTAAGTACTCTCTCAGTACTGTAACACTGTAAGTACTCTCTCAGTACTGTAACACTGTAAGTACTCTCTCAGTACTGTAACACTGTAAGTACTCTCAGTACTGTAACACTCTAAGTACTCTCAGTACTGTAACACTGTAAGTACTCTCAGTACTGTAACACTGTAAGTACTCTCAGTACTGTAACACTGTAAGTACTCTCTCAGTACTGTAACACTGTAAGTACTCTCTCAGTACTGTAACACTGTAAGTACTCTCTCAGTACTGTAACACTGTAAGTACTCTCTCAGTACTGTAACACTGTAAGTACTCTCAGTACTGTAACACTGTAAGTACTCTCTCAGTACTGTAACACTGTAAGTACTCTCAGTACTGTAACACTGTAAGTACTCTCTCAGTACTGTAACACTGTAAGTACTCTCAGTACTGTAACACTGTAAGTACTCTCTCAGTACTGTAACACTGTAAGGACTCTCAGTACTGTAACACTGTAAGTACTCTCTCAGTACTGTAACACTGTAAGTACTCTCAGTACTGTAACACTGTAAGTACTCTCAGTACTGCAACACTGTAAGTACTCTCTCAGTACTGTAACACTTGATGATAACTTGCTGTACCTGTACGCAATACTTATTACATGCCCGGCGCGGTACGCAACATGGTGATGTAATTACAAGTCCAGCTTATACACCTTAATCACCGTGAGTGGTTGAGTGCCCAACAGCCCAGTGAACATAATGTAGATCTCTAACCCCGTGTATGTAAGACACCGGACAATGTATCCTGGTTACCACTCTCGGGGAATTGTCACGTCTGTGGAAGAAAAGAAAATAGAAACCTTGGACCATCGGGGATCGAGCGCCGACCTTGCAAAATCAAAGCCGTCGCTGTACCGACAAACGGTGTCTGTAGTGGTTACAGCCGCTGGCGACGATATCCTGGTGTCTCTTAAACCTTTATTCCCCCCCCTCCTACCCCCTACCCCCCTCCATCCCTCCCCCCCCCTCCCCCCTCTACACTTAATAAATACTTACAAAAGGTATCTGATCAACCAGGCTGTCATTCGCAAGTCCGGCTGGAAACAGCGGTACTGTTTGACCGGACTCCCAGCCAAGAGGTCTGGTCAGAGACCGGGCCGCGAGATCATTGATCCCCTGAAACACCTCAAGGTAAACCCCCCACTCAAGATAAAGTATCTCTCTCTCCCTCACTCGTCCCTCCTCTCTCCATCCCTCCTGGGCCCTCCTGGTCCTTCCTGGTCCCTCCTGGTCCCTCCTCGGCCCGCCTGGTCCCTCCTGGTCCCTCCTGGTCCCTCCTGGTCCCTCCTCGGCCCGCCTGGTCCCTCCTGGTCCTTCCTGGGCCCTCCTGGGCCCTCCTGGTCCCTCCTGGTCCCTCCTCGGCCCGCCTGGTCCCTCCTGGTCCCTCCTGGTCCCTCCTGGGCCCTCCTGGTCCCTCCTGGTCCCTCCTGGTCCCTCCTCGGCCCGCCTGGTCCCTCCTGGTCCCTCCTGGACCCTCCTGGTCCCTCCTGGACCCTCCTGGACCCTCCTGGACCCTCCTGGTCCCTCCTGGTCCCTCCTGGTCCCTCCTGGACCCTCCTGGTCCCTCCGGGTCCCTCCTGGTCCCTCCTGGACCCTCCTGGACCCTCCTGGACCCTCCTGGTCCCTCCTGGTCCCTCCTGGTCCCTCCTGGACCCTCCTGGACCCTCCTGGTCCCTCCTGGTACCTCCTGGTCCCTCCTGGACCCTCCTGGACCCTCCTGGACCCTCCTGGTCCCTCCTGGTCCCTCCTGGTCCCTCCTGGACCCTCCTGGACCCTCCAGGTCCCTCCAGGTCCCTCCAGGTCCCTCCAGGTCCCTCCTGGACCCTCCTGGTCCCTCCTGGTCCCTCCTGGACCCTCCTGGACCCTCCTGGACCCTCCTGGACCCTCCTGGTCCCTCCTGGACCCTCCTGGGCCCTCCTGGGCCCTCCAGGTCCCTCCTGGGCCCTCCAGGTCCCTCCAGGTCCCTCCTGGGCCCTCCTGGGCCCTCCTGGTCCCTCCAGGTCCCTCCTGGTCCCTCCTGGACCCTCCTAGACCCTCCTAGACCCTCCTGGACCCTCCTGGTCCCTCCTGGTCCCTCCTGCGTCATCCCCAGGGCCCTCCTGGGCCCTCCTAGGCCCTCCTGGTCCCTCCAGGTCCCTCCAGGTCCCTCCAGGTCCCTCCTGGTCCCTCCTGGGCCCTCCTGGTCCCTCCTGGGCCCTCCTGGGCCCTCCTGGTCCGTCCTGGGCCCTCCTGGTCCCTCCTGGTCCCTCATGGGCCCTCCTGGTCCCTCCTGGTCCCTCCTGGTCCCTCCTGGGGCCTTCTGCGTCATCCCCAGGGCCCTCCTGGTCCCTCCTGGGCCCTCCTGGTCCCTCCTGGTCCTCCTGCGTCATCCCCAGGGCCCTCCTGGTCCCTCCTGGGCCCTCCTGGTCCCTCCTGGTCCCTCCTGGTCCCTCATGGGCCCTCCTGCGTCATCCAAAGGGCCCTCCTTGTCCCTCCTGGGCCCTCCTGGTCCCTCCTGGGCCCTCCTAGACCCTCCTGGGCCCTCCTGGTCCCTCCTAATCCCTCCTGGTCCCTCCTGGTCCTCCTGCGTCATCCCCAGGGCCCTCCTGGTCCCTCCTGGGCCCTCCTGGGCCCTCCTGGGCCCTCCTGGTCCCTCCTGCGTCATCCCCAGGGCCCTCCTGGTCCCTCCTGCGTCATCCCCAGGGCCCTCCTGGTCCCTCCTGCGTCATCCCCAGGGCCCTCCTGGTCCCTCCTGCGTCATCCCCAGGGCCCTCCTGGTCGTTCCTGGTCCCTCCTGCGTCATCCCCAGGGCCCTCCTGGTCCCTCCAGGTCCCTCCTGCGTCATCCCCAGGGCCCTCCTGAGCCCTCCAGGTCCCTCCTGCGTCATCCCCAGGGCCCTCCTGAGCCCTCCTGGTCCTTCCTGCGTCATCCCCAGGGCCCTCCTGGTCCCTCCTGCGTCATCCCCAGGGCCCTCCTGGTCGTTCCTGGTCCCTCCTGCGTCATCCCCAGGGCCCTCCTGGTCCCTCCAGGTCCCTCCTGCGTCATCCCCAGGGCCCTCCTGAGCCCTCCTGGTCCCTCCTGCGTCATCCCCAGGGCCCTCCTGAGCCCTCCTGGTCCCTCCTGCGTCATCCCCAGGGCCCTCCTGGTCCCTCCTGGGCCCTCCTGCGTCATCCCCAGTTCCCTCCCTCCATCTGGTGCGCGTATGTAAAGTTGGGGAGAGTGACAGTCTCCATCTCAGGTTTCATTTTGGTAATGCCGTCTAATCCGGTTTGGAGCTCAAAATAAGGTAGACCATAATGGCCAGCCGGCGGCCACCCTGTTTACGTGCGCGCTGGACAGATCTACTTAGAGTATCACGTCTGGCTTCCTGCCCTGGAGGAGGACGGCAGGGGGATGGGGGGGAGGAAACCGGCAGGGGGGGGGGAGGCCGGTAGGGGGGGAGGAGGCCGGCAGGGGGGGGAGGAGGAGGCCGGCAGGGGGGGAGAGGAGGCCGACAGGGGGGGGGGAGGCCGGCAGGGGGGGGAGGAGGCCGGCAGGGGGATGAGGGGGGAGGAGGCCGGCAGGGGGAGGAGGAGGAGGCCGGCAGGGGGGGTGGAGGAGGTCGGCAGGGGGAGGAGGAGGAGGCCCGCAGGGGAAGAGGAGGAGGCCGCCGGCAGGGGGGGGGGGGAGGCCGCCGGCAGGGGGGGGAGGAGGCCGGCAGGGGGGGGGAGGAGGAGGCCGGCAGGGGGAAGAGGAGGAGGAGGCCGGCAGGGGGAAGAGGAGGAGGAGGCCGGCAGAGAAGACGAGGAGGAAGAAATACAAGGAGAGAAGGTTGAGGAAGCAGCTTAACATTACACAAGTATACAACTCGTCCTCTAGAGCAACATTGTGTGTTGCCCTATAACCCCCTAACATAACAGGTTGACCTATAACCCCCAACATAACAGGTTGACCTATAACCCCCTAACATAACAGGTTGACCTATAACCCCCAACATAACAGGTTGACCTGTAACCCCCTAACATAACAGGTTGACCTATAACCCCCCAACATAACAGGTTGACCTATAACCCCCTAACATAACAGGTTGACCTATAACCCCCCTAACATAACAGGTTGACCTATAACCCCCTAACATAACAGGTTGACCTATAACCCCCCAACATAAGAGGTTGACCTATAACCCCCAACATAACAGGTTGACCTATAACCCCCTAACATAACAGGTTGACCTATAACCCCCCAACATAAGAGGTTGACCTATAACCCCCTAACATAAGAGGTTGACCTATAACCCCCTAACATAACAGGTTGACCTATAACCCCCCAACATAACAGGTTGACCTATAACCCCCTAACATAACAGGTTGACCTATAACCCCCTAACATAACAGGTTGACCTATAACCCCCTAACATAAGAGGTTGACCTATAACCCCCTAACATAAGAGGTTGACCTATAACCCCCTAACATAACAGGTTGACCTATAACCCCCTAACATAAGAGGTTGACCTATAACCCCCCAACATAACAGGTTGACCTATAACCCCCCAACATAACAGGTTGACCTATAACCCCCCTAACATAACAGGTTGACCTAAAACCCCTAACATAACAGGTTGACCTATAACCCCCTAACATAAGAGGTTGACCTATAACCCCCCAACATAACAGGTTGACCTATAACCCCCCAACATAACAGGTTGACCTATAACCCCCCAACATAAGAGGTTGACCTATAACCCCCTAACATAACAGGTTGACCTATAACCCCCTAACATAACAGGTTGACCTATAACCCCCCAACATAACAGGTTGACCTATAACCCCCCAACATAAGAGGTTGACCTATAACCCCCTAACATAACAGGTTGACCTATAACCCCCTAACATAACAGGTTGACCTATAACCCCCCAACATAACAGGTTGACCTATAACCCCCCAACATAACAGGTTGACCTATAACCCAACATAACAGGTTGCCCTATAACCCCCTAACATAACAGGTTGCCCTATAACCCCCTAACATAACAGGTTGACCTATAACCCCCAACATAACAGGTTGACCTATAACCCCCCAACATAACAGGTTGACCTATAACCCCCCAACATAACAGGTTGCCCTATAACCCCCTAACATAACAGGTTGCCCTATAACCCCCTAACATAACAGGTTGACCTATAACCCCCCAACATAACAGGTTGACCTATAACCCCCCAACATAACAGGTTGACCTATAACCCCCCAACATAACAGGTTGACCTATAACCCCCTAACATAACAGGTTGACCTATAACCCCCTAACATAACAGGTTGACCTATAACCCCCCAACATAACAGGTTGACCTATAACCCCCCAACATAACAGGTTGACCTATAACCCCCTAACATAACAGGTTGACCTATAACCCCCCAACATAACAGGTTGACCTATAACCCCCCAACATAACAGGTTGACCTATAACCCCCTAACATAACAGGTTGACCTATAACCCCCTAACATAACAGGTTGACCTATAACCCCCCAACATAACAGGTTGACCTATAACCCCCCAACATAACAGGTTGACCTATAACCCCCTAACATAACAGGTTGACCTATAACCCCCTAACATAACAGGTTGACCTATAACCCCCCAACATAACAGGTTGACCTATAACCCCCTAACATAACAGGTTGACCTATAACCCCCTAACATAACAGGTTGACCTATAACCCCCCAACATAACAGGTTGACCTATAACCCCCTAACATAACAGGTTGACCTATAACCCCCTAACATAACAGGTTGACCTATAACCCCTAACATAAGAGGTTGACCTATAACCCCCTAACATAACAGGTTGACCTATAACCCCCTAACATAACAGGTTGACCTATAACCCCCCAACATAACAGGTTGCCCTATAACCCCCAACATAACAGGTTGCCCTATAACCCCCAAACATAACAGGTTGCCCTATAACCCCCCAACATAACAGGTTGCCCTATAACCCCCCAACATAACAGGTTGACCTATAACCCCCTAACATAAGAGGTTGACCTATAACCCCCTAACATAACAGGTTGACCTATAACCCCCCAACATAACAGGTTGCCCTATAACCCCCTAACATAACAGGTTGACCTGTAACCCCCTAACATAACAGGTTGACCTATAACCCCCTAAC